GATAGGAGCCGGGGAGTCAGATCGCTGACGTTGGCACAGGCATGCGTACACCGAGCGCACATACGAACACCTGCTTGTGCGAACGTTCAGTGGGCAAAGGACACCGGTACCGATGAGCTGGCGGGATAGCGGACAAGGACGCGTGGTCAAGCACTGGACCTGGAGGATCTGCGGATGGATGCTCTTGGAACGGGGACAAGTCACTAAACACCAGGATCGCTCATTCGGGCCCGAGGGGAGGGGGGGTGGGGGCCGTTCCAGGTATATAACCCTTCGGGGGCCTGGTCGTGCCATTTGAGTAGATTTTCACGCGACGGGGCCCGGATGCGATACCGGACAGTGGGGCGTATACTGGTAAACCGAGTCTCGGAAGTATGAAGAGCATCACTTTGCGAGATATCGGCCCAACGAGCCCCACGATCATCGTATTCTGGAAGGCAGTTCATTACGGACGGAGCACCAGACGTATAGTACGGCATTACTGAAAATAGGCCTCAAGTGCCGGTAAAACACCGTGACCCTGGAACACATATGTCGACGGGTCACGGGGGCGCTTGGCACACGCTGCAACGATCCGTGATACGCCGGAGAGAGAGAGCATCAACCATTAGGGACGGGTGCGTTCTTCGACCCAGAATGCGGGCGGTGGTCCCTGATGAAGCTGATATTTACTCTTCGGAGAAATTTCGGTAAAGTCCGGTGGGCTGTCGTCCCGCGTCGCGTTCCTTGCAGACTATAGGGTGGGGGGAGGGCGCGACCTACTCTATTCCGTTTTCCTCACTATTAAACTCACACACCCAGCTTTCGATTAGACTAGATTCACATGGCGGTGGATTCATTTATGGTCCATCGCGGCTCCTAGGGGAGGTGATCGCCGAACCCGACCTCGTCTCTCCTTGAGGTCGGCTAGAACGGCTTCCCCATGTATCGCTGTTGGAGTCCCGGGACTCCCTCCCTGTCCTTGAAGGGGGGTGGTAATTTTGTGAGGGGTAACCAGGAGGGGGGGCTCCTGAATTATTCGGGACATAGGCAGGTAACTGACTAGGGGGTTGAAATAGGCGATACAGCTCTCTCTCTCGATGATGGAACGTACGCAAGCACGATGATTCGACCCCTGGTATATTTAGCTTCCTCGCCACCATGTGGCCCGGGCCTAAAAAAAGTTGGTCAGGTTGGAACGCCGGGGGAAATAATATCCCCAGGTAACGCCCACCGCAGTCCTATTGCAGGGCTGTGAGATAGCTACCGGCATTTGAGCCACAGCTGCGGCCTTGGGGGGGAAATCGCACTTCCCCTCTCCCGGGAGACCTGAGCATTAACTAACTAACTAACTAACTACGCTTGTACTACGAAGCTCCGAACAAGTAGGTCACCAATCATCGCAGGAAACCGCGTATAATAATAGCAAATAAACAAGACGTAACAAATAAAATCATACTTTTTATCATCTGTCGTTTGTGATTTAAAGAGATTAATGAATGAAACGTAAATGTAGGCAAATTATGTGTAACGTAAAAAGACGAATGCACATTTACATTTTTGTAAATTCCTTTTCACAAATTTGTAAATTTCCTTTTCAAATAACGTGTGAACGAAAAGGTAATGTAACAGAATAAACGAGAAGTGATCGTAATTCGATATTGGTATAAAAATTCGTATTTTAATAACTGTCAACAATGTTACTGATAATGAATAAGTTTCTTCAAAAAGCCCGAAGAAAAAGTTAGGTACAGAAACTTGCAGAATTATCGCCGGAAATAAGCCATAGCTTGCGTTAAATTAAGAAAATAATAATCAGCAATAAATTGATTAGAACTCAGCCTTTCGGAAATTCACCTGCAGTTAGCAAACCTGTGTCACTAGGTCACTGAACCGATCCTGGTCATCGACGGCCGAAACGGTTTATGG